TTCTGGTAAATCACACCTGATTTATTTTTTACATATGCACAGATTGCCACGCTGCAGATGTCATCTCTCAACGTGGTGTTTATTTGCTGGTAAAGACTAGAATATGAATGCAAAAACATGATACCCCTTGCACAAGCACAATTAGAAAAATGTTAAAGATGTACTTTTACATGAGACAATTACCAATCATTTATTTAGCATTAAGCAAAAAATGATGGATCCATCGAATGTCTATACTGTTTATTCCTTGTACAGTTGGGGGCTGGGGCTTTTTTGGATTGTGGGAGGAAGACGTACACATACATGAGGACAACATGCAAACGCCACATGAAAAGGTCCATGCGGATTTTGATAAAAATATAAAAATACTAAGCACCAAATTGAGACAACAGTAATTTAATAAAATACAGATTTCCATGCTATACCATCAGAGAGTGCCAGCCAGCAACACTTAACATCTGTTATCTTCTCTCCAACCTCCCCTCTTGATAGTAAACTGTGATCTAATGCAGCAGAATAAAACTATTCACAATTAGATTTATCGCTCTTTTTCTTCATTTTTCTCCACAAGAAAAACTAAGTCTAAAACAGCTGAATGTACATTTGCCACATACAAATATCCATCTCTCCAAAAAGGATTTGATGCTAGTTTGTTAGGAGTTCACTCATAACGAAATGCAAAGGTGGAGTGAGAGCAGAAATGGAATCACTGGCACAGCTTTAAATAATTAAACACATTATCAGCACCAGTGAATTGACAGAGCATAAACAGCAATATTTTCCTTAACATTGCGACATAAACTCAAAGGTTTATGTATAAGATAGGTCCTAATGACAACGGAAGGCACCATTTCCAAAATCTCCTCTGTTCCAGTGATGAGTCTACATTACTGATGACGGCCTTGTGCTGGATAATCGCAGCCCGTCAGTCCCATCACTCATACTTTCTGTCACAGACAAGGCTCAAAGAGCTCTTTTTCACTCTGACCCTCAATTACCTGGCCCAATCATCTCAGACAGGTGTTGAGGTACAGTAATAAACCCTCGCCTGATGCTGCCAAGCAGACTCTCTTTTAAAGCACCTCCGAGAGCTCTGAAATGACTGAGCTCTGAGATGATCAGGTGCTGTGACCACAGTTGACTCGTGGCTGCTGGCTGATGGTGTGCTATGAAACCACTTATTGTCCGGTTCGGACTGTATAAATGTAATCTGTGGGTGCTGTTTGCTACATTTTTGGACAGAAATAAGTGCATAATTGTGTGCTCTAAAAACAGGATGAAAAAATATATATCCAAGTCTATTTTGTTACAATGAACATGTTCCCCTTTAAAAGGAAACATACATGATTGATATTGCTGAAATCAATTTGTTTTTATAGTAAGAAAAGAAAATGAATCTTCTAGTGAATCTCCTAGTCTCGAGGACAGCCGCACTGATACCACAGTATCAAGCTGATTAGAATTAAATACTTCAAATTAACAAATCTCTCAAACACAGTAAGGGGATATCAAACTGTTTAATAATATAATGATATAACTGGCTTCTATTTTTGACCCTTGAAAATGTCCTCAATACATTTTCCCATTTCAAACACATGGGTTGTGATGCTAATAACTTGTCCCTGATGTGTTCGCTCATCCTTTTGTACGATAACAGTCTGCTCACCTGATTCACTCCTTTGCTCAATCATCCCACCTTCTCTGTTTGGAATAAAAGAGCACAGTTCATTGTTGATGCATAAATCATATATTGTGACCCAGAAATTTTCAGCAGACCCTTTGAGAGAAAAGACCTGTGAAGCTAAATTAGACTACAATATACTACAGAGATGGGTCAGGTAGCCGTTGAAGCAAACAGATGATTTTTCACAGACAATTAATTCAACAGTATATTGATTATCATTATTACTAATGACAATACTAATGCAACTTTTATAAGTACTATCCAGAAACTTGTTTTTGGTGCAAAATACTCCCGATAAACAATTTGTTTAACTGAATCAAATGAGTGGTGTAAAGCTAT